CGACCCAATTATTCAAATTACGCATTACATTTAAAATACTAAAAGTTAAATTATTACGTAAATTTAAAAGGCCATTAGTAGTTTAATGTAATGCGTAATTTGAATTTTCGGGTCGGGAGAGGACGGTAATCACCAGACCGCGACATTTTTATGGCACGACTAACCCACCTGAGAAATTCCACTAGAACGTATTGGCTAAACTAAGCGTGACTATTGGCCAATCAAATTAGTTAGTTGGCGCTAATTATGTTTCTGAGCTTCCGAGCTATTCAATGCAATATATTCCAACTCATCCTTTGATATTATTCTTTTTTGTTCGTATCTCATCACGATAATATAATCAATACCAAAACATTGTTATAAAAAAAGGATTCTCATATACGATTTCACAATAATTTTTTAATTCGTTAACAAGTATAACATCATCACATAACGATAAGTTATTCTGGTTATTAGAAATGACCCTGTTTGTGACCCGATAATATTCGCGTAAACGGTAGGTACCCGGAGCTTAAATTTTTATGCCGGTTTAATCTCTGCTCGCTATATCTGATGATTGATTCGAATCGTTAAATCGGAAAACCACTAGAAGTCACTGGACGTCACTGGAACTTCCATTCCAGTAATAAAAATCTTTCCAGTTCCAGTGAACACACTGAAATTTATATGAATTCGAGTATTTCATATTAAAGTATGGAATTTATATAAAATTGACCGAATTCGAATTCGAAAAAACCATTTTGTCTATAGTTAAGAATAATTAATTTAGAGGTCCAATCCGGATAAATCCGTCATCCATTTATCCATATCTGAATTTATCCGGATATCCATTTATTATTGGTATCCGAATAATCTGACAAATATTCGGATAATTATCTGGATATCAATAGTGAAACGGATATCCGAATAAATTCAGATCTGGATATCCAATAGATGAATGGATTAACGGATAATGGATAGGAACTCTAAATTAATTTTACTAATATAGATTGATTAACCGTACAATGTATAATGAGGAAAGTTTGCCAAACATTAACAATAATCTATCGATGGAAGGGAGTGCAGGCTCTTCTTTTCAAGATCAAATTGATATACAAAATTATTGCACGGGTCTTATGTGACAACCCGTGCTTTTTTCATTTACTTATTGGCACGGGATTGTTACGTCAGACACCGTGCAATAAGATAGTTATTATATAGGTATATGAATAACCCAGTTACACACACGGGTTCATATTTAAATCCCGTGCCTTCGACACGGAATATGAACTCGTGTGTAAATACCCATACAATAACTATAAATTATTTAAAAAGAATGAACATCGAACTTCATCTGTCTCTAAGCATCAAAAAATGATGAATTCACAAGATATGCAAAGAAAAAAGGTAATTTTAATAAACCTCACTATGGTAAAATTTCTAATCAATGTAAAGATCGTTATCGGGCTTCATTACGAGTCTTAAATGGTAATAAATTTAATAGACGATTTTATTGAATCAACGCAAACTCTTAATCGTATATGTAAACAAGTCGTTCTTAAAATTCTCAATAATTCTGAGCAAATAGATGCCAATTATTTGGATGAGGTCTCTATATATATAAAATTATATTATGTGATGTTTAGCAAAAAGGTAATTTTGATTATAGGAATATTCTGGCATTATGCAACATTCTGGAACGAAAAAAAAACTTTATCATGGTTAAAAAATTTAAAATTATTACATGAAATAGCAATTCGACTTCATTTGATACACTAGCATCAACTTATTCGTCGCGACCTTCACAGCGGCAATATTCTTATTAGCTCACGTATTGTACCAACAATCGCAGATTTAGAAATAAGCAAATGAATCGTATATCAGAGGTGCTAAAAGGAGGAAGATTTACAAATGTTTCAGACATTTATAGTTTTAGTATAATTATTTGGGAAGTAATAAGTGGTTGCAGGCCATTTTTTGATCGCAAGCATGATGAAATTTTATTCTGGATATTATTGATTGTATTCGTCCAAAAGTTCCAATTAACATTCCGCAAGATTTAATTGAATTAATGGAAATGTTGGCATCGAGATCCGGAAAAGGAAAATTTGTAAAAAAACAAAATATGAATTTCCTACGAAGAGTACGGAGATTTGGTTGTTTGAGTATTGGGTTTAGAATACTTATTGAAAAAGCAAATAGTGGAAAAATAATTTTCCAGAAAATAGAGATATAAATAGTTTACAAACTAAAATAAATGATCAAGCAATTTATTCTAGTCGATTATTAACCAAATTTGTATAATTTCATTCAAATCTTTTTAAATTTAGTTCTTTAAGGTTCGAACTTATCAATCTTAGCACTGAATTCGCCATTTCATAAATATCAGATAAATATCTGTATGAATATTCTGTACGGCAAATATTGTATCTATGCGAATGTTCGTTGAATATCCGTGTGAAATTTGACGAATATCTGCGAATATCGGTGAATATTTCTGTCTAAATTTGATGAATTCCATATGTAACAGTTTAAACATTGATCATTCACGCTCATACTTTCAAAACCAGTAAGCCGAAGTGCTTCATTTATTTAAACAAACCGGGAATAATTAGGAAACGGCTGTCCAATAAAATTTATGAAAAGTTCTGCTACAACGGAGGTACAATACGGAATGTAAAATTAATACCGTATAAGTGTGAAATAGTGGGCGTTATTTTAAAATCAGGCCCTTCAAAAATAACTTATATGGTCTCGAATTAAAGCACATCCTAATGTAGCACATAATTTATTACGTATTGCGATAAATGATATACAGTCGATACTCCATATGCGCTCTCTATAAGTGCACTTCACATGCACTTTTCCTATAATGTTAAGTGCATCGATCTAATGTAATTATTTTAATACGTATTACGTATATGTGTAAATTATTCTCATAAATGAATTATTCTATAAATGCACTTTTACCCACAATGTGCATTTATGGAAGGTTGACTGTATTGGATTTAGAAAATCTTCTCTTATTTCAAAATAGCGTTATTTTGCGCTTATATCGTATTACTAGACGAGCTTTCAAAAAGTTCTTCCAAATTGTTTTTTTTTTAAGCAAAATGTTATAAGATTATTTGACATCTTAACGAAAAATTTTGCTGAAAGTAAGTTATTTATATTGATAATCAAAAAATTTACTTTGTATTAAACGATATGGATACTGTATATAACTATTTTTTTAGAAAAAAAATTTTATTGGTTTTAAATTTATGTTGATCAAAAAAATATTACGTGTAATAAAGGCGGATATATAAATTTATACTTTTTTTGACAATTTTCACAATCTACATACCGTATAAAGGTCTGGATTGCTGTTACTTATAAATAAAATAATTGACTCACCCCAATTTTATATGTTAATTTGTTTAAAAGATTTTATAATTTATCGCCATAGCGATATGTCGCGTAAATTATTATATTAATGATTTGTAAGCACATTTGAAACTCCGCATATAGGACGCGACATATTGGGGTGCGCTGTCAACTATGTAAATCAAAACTATGTGTGGCAATCGGGCTTTCAAGTATATTTTGTGTACAGTTGGTTATCTGTGTGCAGTCTATGGTAAATCTATCATCGGACCATAGACGGCACGCAGATAACCAAATGTACTGTACACAAAATAGCCCGATTGTAGGTTTTAAAATGAATTATTGGAGGTTTTTTTTTTAGATCTAATGATTGAGACAATAATCAGAGTGGTTTATCACTTTTATATAAGTTTTAAATAACAAAGAGTGATATTGATATATTTAGATGTAGAGAACGAACTATATTATTTTTTTCAAATGTTTTAGCATATATCACATCTTTTTAACAAAGTTATGTTAAAATAATTCATGAACTGTAATGTAATGCTTCAATGTTAGTATTTAAAAGTCAAATGAAAATTCAGTCAAGATTGAAGAAAAGAAAAAAAAAGAAAATTTCTTGACGACCGCAAATTTTTATCTTAAAACAAATTTTTTAACGTAACTTTGTTAGAAATATGTTTAAGATTGATTTCATGTTAAATAAGTAATATAATTCGTCCTCTATATCTAAAAATAACTCTTTAATAATAGTCAGCTAAATATTCCTTACCAATAGTGATCGTATATAAGCTGTCATGATCACCATACGCACGGCTGTGCTGTAAAAAAATCCTCGAAGATTGATTTTATATGATATAGTTTTGATCTAAATAGTTAGCAGCGACATATCACTGTGGCGATAAATTATAAAATTGCATTTAAAAATACAATATCTGATAAAGTAATTTCCAATTTTAATTTAGTATCATCGTAAATTTTAATCAGGAATAAAGATCTCTTTCGTATTTACATAAAATCTATAATATTACAAAATCCACAGAAATTCATTGAATAACCATGATATTCAAAGGATCCAAGATCAACGTCAATTTGAATTAATCTGCGCCAGCTAATCAAGAGAAGTCTCTTGTATCCTTAAATAGGACCTTTTTACTATCTTATAAATTTATATACTCGGAAAATAACCAGACAGTATCTTTTTGTTAATCACTAAATGACAGGGACTTCTTCACCCATCCGGTAATATATTAAGGAATATCAAGAGCTTCATTAACAAAAATCATTGAAAAAAATTGGGACTAACCCATAATGCACTCTCTAATTGACTTCTGTGACTTCATATTAGAAATAATTGGAAAAGTGCGACCAGTCTATAATAAATATGAAAGTTCTTTGAAACGTTTCTATATCTAACATATGATGATCGACTAATCATATATATACGTACAAGTGCGATGTATCAGTATATTTTAGTACAAGTATATTATAGAGTTCTAGCGCTAGATGATACGTATAAAATAGCATTACTCAAATTGGTTGGTTACACAACATGCTAATTTTTAAAATGCAGGCTCATCCTTATAAATATTACAGTATTTAGACTTTATCTCTTTTTTTTTTCAGTCGTTGATTACCAAATTTTTATTTCAATAATGTCCGCCCGAAATACTCTAGAGCTCGTTTCTACAAAGCTCGCAGTTTTAAGAACTTTCGTAGAATACTTTAATTCTCCTCGATTGATACATCTTAAAAACTTTATATTCGTTTTAGTAGTGTATCGCTATGGAAGAATTCTTTTAAATAAGCTTGCAATTCAAGGAGTTCGCCGTACCCTTGGTGACTTTTATAAGATTGTTGCTGGCACCATATTAAAAATTGTTGTAAATGCTCCAGTTGCAAAAAAGACGATTCGAGCTAATATTGATAAAACCATTAGGGAGCTTGAAGAAAAAGTTGCTCCCAAAGAAGGATTGCCACGTTATCTTTCCTTACCAGATGTTGGATTTGATGATCAACAAGTTAAGGAAGAATTAAGAAGGTTTGTTCTTTATAAAATAACTAATTTTATTCCACTTTGACAATATTCATTCGTTTTTGCTATATCATGTTTTTGTTTTGATTACAACGTTTAAATCAATGATAGATCAATAAAAAATTCTTATATTACAGATATCAAGACATGAAAAGTATAGATTGGGAAGATGGTCGTTTGTCTGGTGCTGTCTATAATGGGGGCCATGAACTTTCAAAACTGATATCTGAAGCATATTCCATGTTCTGTGTAAGCAATCCTTTGCATCCTGATGTATTCCCTGGAGTACGCAAGATGGATGCAGAAATTGTTGCTATGGTATTAGACTTATATAATGCTCCAAATGATGCAGGTGGCACTACTACTTCTGGTGGTACTGAAAGTATAATTATGGCATGCAAGACTTACCGAGACTGGGCGAGAAGCGAAAAAGGAATAACTGAACCGGAAATGTAGTATTTTTTTGTTGATTATATCTTTCATAATTATTTGATATGATTACTTAGTATAAATGATTGAATATTAGGATTGTACCGGATACTATTCATGCTGCTTTTGATAAAGCTGCAGGTTATTTAAATATCAAAATGATCCACGTTCCAATTGATCCTGTCACACTCAGGGTTGATACTAAGGCTGTAAGCAGAGCAGTCAACAAAAACACAATCCTGGTAGGAATAATAGATTAAAAAAAAAAAAAACCACGATTACAAGTTTATTGATAAATTTAATATAATAATAGATCGCGGGATCCGCACCAAACTTTCCTCATGGTATTATTGATGATATTCCTACTCTAGCGGGAATTGCTGATAAATATAATATTGGAATGCACGTTGATTGTTGTTTGGGCAGTTTCATAGTACCATTTTTAGAGGAAGCAGGATTCCCTGCTCAACTCTTTGATTTCAGAATAAAAGGGGTTACTTCAATTTCATGTGATACACATAAGGTATAAACTTTTACATATTTAATATTCTGTAAATGTACATAATTTGTATCATAATGCAAATTATAGCTCATTTTATTCATTTTATTTATATCCTATTACTAAATTTAATAGTACGGATTTGCACCAAAAGGTTCTTCAGTAATTATGTACCGCTCAAAGGCTTTGCGTAGATATCAGTATTTCTTTGCACCCGACTGGACGGGTGGGATTTATGCATCTCCTTCAATGGCAGGTTCACGGTAATTGTTTATTTTCGTAATTTATTTGAATTCTTATTGTATCGGTATTCACATCATTTCTTTGATAATATAGTCCTGGAGCAATCCTTGCTGGGTGTTGGACGGCTATGATGAGGATGGGTAAAAGCGGATATATCGAATCAACGAAGAAAATAGTAGGATGCGCAAAAAAGATTGAAGCTGGGTACATATATTTCATATATTTCAGTATATTTAAATGTGATTGACAATTTTAATAGAATTAATAGAATTACTAAATTAACATATTTACTCTATTCAGTATTCGTAAGATAGACGATTTATTCGTATATGGAAAACCCCTAGCATCAGTAGTAGCATTTGGTTCAAAAACTCTTAACATTTATGACATAAATGATAAAATGTCGAAAAAAGGATGGAGTCTTAATGCATTACAAAGTCCACCAGCGGTTCACATCGCATGTACTATCTTAACTGTACCAAATGCTGATCAATTTGTGACGGATTTAAGGGATTGTGTCAATGAGGTTAAATCAAATCCAGAAAGGTCGAAAGATGGGACTGCAACTATTTATGGTTTGGCGGCTACTCTACCCGATAAAGGCATTGTTAATGACATTGCTTGTGGATTTTTGGACGCATTATACTCTGCTTAGGATGTATTATGATGCATTAAATATTTTGACATTGAACAATAGCATTATTATTTATGCAATACTTATTTGATATATATTTACTGTATATGTAAAATTTACCTAATAAAAAAAAAATCATTGTCATATTGAACAAACATTAAATGAAAAAATAGTATATCAAAAACCTATGTTAAAATTAATATTAATCAGTTCATTTTTAAATAGTATTAAACAAAAAAGTCAAAAGAAATGTTTAATAACAATACTCACAACAGTCACAATCAAATGGGCATAACGGTGTATCTATAAATTCAAAAAGAAAAAAAGTGATGTTCGGCAAATGCAGAAATATGAAATAAAGATGATAATTGTATAAATAATCCGTCATGTGGATTTCATACCTCCACCATTACCAATATTTAATTCGTTAATATCATAAACAGCAAGACCATCTTCCGTTGTCTTTCCTTTTTATATCGAGAATATATTATTTTAGTACATTTACTATTGATACTTTAAGTTGTATTATTAATGTGACAGAAATAAAGCACATACGACTCTTTGTGCCTCTTGAATCGCTAAATCCGTCCGTATCGTTTTCTCGTAATTTTTTATTTCTTGATTTATCAGGTATAGCAGGAACTTTAAATATAAATTCTTTCTTCGAAGAGTCAATCTCAGTCAATGAAGTCGAAGAGGCATGTGAAGAGGTATGTGAAGATGAGGGAACGATTTTTAAATCATTCTCTTGCAATTTTCTTTTTTTTGATTTATCTGGTATAGCTGGAACTTTGAATTCAAAATCTTTAGTTTTTAACGATTTTTCTTTTTCTTTAATTGATGGATCAACAGTGGTTGATAACGTCGTACTTTTCGCCATTGAAAATATTTCATCAATCTCGTCTTTAACATTTTTATCGCCTACTGATTTAATGGGCGGATTTAAATCATCTTTGTTTTTTAATTTCTGTGAAACTTTTTTAAGATTAGTTGTAGTGTTATCATCATTTGTGATTTTTTTTTTGGAAGAATTCATCATGGTTTGAGATCGTCCTGAGATGCAAAGAAAAACATTGTTAACGTATGAAATCTTCACGTGACACACTTATCATACCGATACTGTACTGGTTATTACATGGGTGCCTAAGTTATTTTTTTTAAATTTCGCCTAACATTTCGTCATCGATATATAATTTCTACATGAATTCCACAAAATAACTATGCTATATATACAGAAACTTGAATTTCTTAATGCGCAGTAACTGTATAGTAACTATGTAGTTACGATTAAATTTAATATATAGTATATAATTTTGTCGTTACTATGCAGTTACTGCGTATTAAGATATTTAAGTTTAATATGCCTCGGCATAGGGAATTCAAATAATTTCACTAAAAATTCGGCAACTATGGAAAATTTCGCCACTAAGATTCGATTTTGACAAATTAATACAGTCTCCCCTCGTTAATATCAACTTCGTTAATATCAATCTAAAGCTATATAAGATGAAATTTTACAAATTATTATATATTAAAATTCCCTCATATATATCAACTTTATTATAATCCCTTGTTAATATCACTATCAACATGAATTTAAACTAATTCAAATAGGTTGATATAAACGAGGGTAGACTGTATTGTGGAAATTTTTAATTACTGTAATATAGTATTAAGTGGAGTAATTTGGAAGCCCATGGCATAGTAACGCGTCAGTTAATCATTATTTTATTATTGTAGATATATACAGTATATATATATATATATATATAGTAATAAAATTCTTAAACCTTGGGCTTGTACGTACGTACGTACTAGCTGCTAAGTGTTTGTCAGTTATTACAGTATTACAAATATTTTACGTAAATCTTGGGCCGATGTGAAACAATCAGAATGGACTAAATATACTAATACTGTATCCTTATCGTTAGTTATTGTAATGGAAATTTCTTATAAAAAATATGGTAACGATAATTTTTTTTTGTGCGCTAAAACTGAATCTGAGATCTCAGAAATTAATTACAAGTCACTCTCGTTATAGTAAACTCTTGATATGGTGAAGACCAACTAAAATCTCGACACAGTCAAGTCAATCGCAAGGCGAATCTGTACGAAATCCTTCGATATAGTGATTTACTAAAAGCTCTCGATATAGTGAAAAAAATTTTTATTAATGGAACCGAACATTTCACTATAACGAGAATTACTTACAGGCCACAGAGTTTGATCTAGAGTGATAATTCCGGCGTGGCATGATTTCAAAGACTACGGCATAGTAAATTCCAATCTTGATAACTAACAATTAAATCATGTTCGCTCTACATTTACACTAAATTGAAAACGTACAGTACATTGATTATATTCTAGATATTATTCTTAAAGTTTCACAATCAGAACGGTACTGTGTAACTTCAATTGCATGTGATTAACCTTTATTCCTGTATTCAAGCACAATAATTCAAATATCCAAAAAAACTTTTTATCCAAAAGATGGCCGAAATGTAAATGCGTACAATACGCAGTAATCGGCCGATTGAGATCTAAATTTGGAATAACGTCACTACAAGCCTGATGTTACATTTTCACACATATATAAATGCCTGAAATTATTTGACCTCTAAAATTTTAACTACACGATAAAGAAAAAAAAAAAAATGGCGCCACCGCGAGATTTTATTCCTTCATATTTACGAGATAGTCCAATTTCCTTGCTAAATAAAAGATCAGTAACTTCTATATCATTACCTACTCGTTGGAATCCCCATGATCGGGCTCCTTATGTTTCAGTTTTGGAAGATGGTGTTAGTCTTGAATATATTGGTACACAAGAATATAGTAAATTAGTTTCATCAATATATTTACATTTATAGAACAAGTTCAAGATTGTGTTTTAACATTATTATTATTATTACTTTTGTGTTTTTTTTTTTCCTTATTGAAAAAGGGCCAGGAAGGAATTGGATAGATGCATCTTCGATCCGAACGAATTCTCCCGTTCTTCCAGAAGTTGGATTATATTATTTTGAGATCAAAGTTATTGATAAGGGAGAGCGTGGGTATGTCGCAGAAGTACAAACTTTTATGAATTGGCTTATGTTTTGATGCACAGGCTAATATAAATTTTTAAATTTTGCTAGATGTATTGGAATAGGACTTACCAAAGGACATATTCCTCTTGACCGGATGCCAGGTAAAACATTAATCTACTAACTAAATATGAGTTTAACTACATTGCCGAAGTGAAATATTGATTTATCCTTCTATGTATCTTAATTTCATTATAGGATGGGAACAAGAATCAATAGGATATCATGGAGATGACGGATTGCTTTATCTACAAAGTGGTCGTGGTGATAAGTATGGTCCTTTATACACAACCGGGGATACTGTTGGTTGTGGAATAAATTATTATGATAAAAGTATATTTTTCACAAAAAATGGAGTCAATTTAGGTACGCTAAATTGTTTATTTTGAACGCAAGATTTAATTTTATTAAAAAATAGTTAATAATTTTGCCTTAAAAAAAAATAAAATAAAAATAAAAATAGGTGTAGCATCAAAAGCCATATTTGAAGGAGAAATGTATCCAATAGGTGGAATGATAAGTCCAAATGAACGTATTGAAGCCAATTTTGGAGAAAAACCATTCAAGTATGATATAGACACTTATGCAAAGGTATTTCTTATGCATCATATCATATACCATTTATTTTTATTTATTTATTTATTTATTTATTATGATTATTTATTGATCTATTGTTGTTTCTTTTTTATACATAAAAATATGCACTTAAATACAGCATGTTTTTACACAAGCTGCTGCTAATAAGATTAAAGAAGAGAAAGCAAAGTCAAGTGAGCAAACATCTGAGGTTATCGAGACAGAGAGCCGTGAAAATGTCGAAGATAATGGACAAATTATAATTTCAGAACAGGCTGATGACACTGAACAAAGTCGATAGTGATGAGCTGAATCCAATAATGAAATTGGAACAATAAAAATATTAGATAAATAATCATTTACAACTATTAAACAGAATAGTCATTATAATGTAATATTTATTAAAGACATGATTAACTGAGTAAAACTAAAATAAAATTTTGCATAATATTTAAAAAATTTACATTTAAATTAAGATATACGTATTATTCATTTACATATTTTGAAGTTAAATATCAGTTATAATTTATGTTATGCTATTTGCTTATCATCAAATAACGTAGCGTGATTTCATATAAAATATTAAAAAGCAAATGGAATACCAATATAATGACGAAATCACCCATAAAATTTGCTTAATAATGCACCAACTTTTAAATGACCATATTACTTTCAAAAGCATTTAAAAGTCGCTTCGAAGTAATATTAAGTATCCGAGTTCTTTTCATCATATTTTATGTTTAATAAATTTAATACGTATTTATTCCGTTACCAATGAATTGTTTATAGCTAAATATCCTGATATTTATCGTGTAACAGAGTCACTTAGTTAGGTTCATGTACAAAATGTTTGTATGCGCTTCATAGACAAAATAATTAATAAGACAATGAATGTAGTTCTTCGTTTATTACAAAGTCTATAAATTCTGATTTACTCTAAACTTTACATTTTTGTTTTTAATCTATTAATAATAACCTATACTATTTACAAATAATTAATTAATGTTACAGTATTTCGATCACCTGCTCGCTTTTTCGAATATGCCCATGTGCATTATTTGGTTGTTAATATATTATAAATCCACTGTTTTATTATTATTTTTAGTATCCTATTACTTATTAAATTACCTAATAGATTTTTCTACAACTTTTTATATGATTTGTTACATGAGATGATCGTTATTCGGAACGCGCATAGGCGTTATCTCGAAACTAACTAGACTATTTTTTAGGTGACTAATTAATGTCTGCCATTTCGAGAATATATGGTATATTATTAAAAAAAATACACTTAGATAATTATTAAAAAATTAAAACAAATTTTTTTAACCGATAGGATTTAGGCCTTGTACTAGGTTTTTTACAGTTTATAAATCAGTGTTTGCAATGGAGTGAATTTGGACATACAGTATAAAATTTTATTTGGACAAATTGGACATATAGAATTTTATATGTCCATATATCTGTGTTCAAATGAAATTTTTATTGGACATAGTCCAAATGCAAACACTGTTATAAATAGATTAAATTTTTAAAAAATTATGAATATAAAAATTTTTATATACAAAAATTTATTAAAATATTTCAAATAGTTTATCAATATTTATTTATTTATAAAAATTATTTAGTTATTAATTTTTGAAATATTATATAGTATTTATAACATCTATATAGTCTGAATTAGAGTTAGATTAGAGTTAGGATGCAGCTTTAAAATAAATATTTTTATATAATTTGATACATATTGGCGGATTTGTGGAATGGATCTAAATTAGGGTTCCTGGATTTAACAATTGCAGAATGCATTATAGCTGAAATTTTAGAGTCGGTCTTACAATTACATTGTTAAAATATATTTGACCTTAATTCTGTAAATTCGCCGATATGATAAGATTTTATAAGGTTTTAATTTAGTTTTTATAAGGTTTTGGAGGTTCTAAATATTTTTATTTAGAGTACTCAATTCTACTTACTTAATATATTTTTGAAATGTAGTTTAAGGTGTTATTCCTTAAACTGTAGACAATTCCAGGCAAATTTGCCTGGAAAATTGCTATAAATTTGTTTATGATTTACTTTTTTTAAA